ATATATATATATTATATATAGGTGTGTGTATATTTAATTACGGATTTTTCCATAACTAAGCTGCATATTTCGTGTGCTCAAGTCCTATAAGTACCCGCTCCTACTAAAATAGAAGCATCCGTATGACCTGTCTTGCTACGAAATGTCTAATAAGCAGGTTTAAGAACACCCGCGAGTAATGAGAAAAACGGCTTAACGGTACATCACGATAGTAGATCACAAGATGAAATAGTTACGAGAATATAAGGTTTTAGGTGCGACTTTAAACAAGTTATTACAGTCTTAACAGTCTAATGTCAATTTCTATATGTTTGGTAAAATTACATGTTTTGCAAGTGATTAAAGAATCTTACTTGAGGTTCAAAAGCCTTCCACGGCAGTCTAACCATAAGGAAATTTCAATCAGTGCGGTACTGGAAATTCAGTAGAGAAGAATTTCAAGTACAATATGTGTAAAGTCAGAGGAAAAAATCCAAGAGTTAATATTGATCAATTAAGTATTCAAATCAAAGATTTCCTTGTCAAACTCACCACCATTATTTTTGAATGAATAATTTTGGTATTATGATTTAATTTACATATTTCTATGCTCAATATTAAATTCGATACTTTATAAGTACCATTGCGGCTTTAATTAAATTATTATTCAAGTTCTGAAAACCTTCCACCTCAGTCTAAGATGAAAGGGACTCACCTTACAAAAGGAAAAAAAAAAGTACATGAATTTGTCTCTAGCATAAAAGAATAAAAAATCTTACAAAGTTGATGATATGTGCTTTAAAACTAATCCAACAAGTAGCTACATTGAGAGAAATCAATTATCCAAAACAAAAAACCATATGGTTTGTATCTTCACAATACAACAATATAGCTTCATTAGAGTCATGCTCACACCTTAGTAACTCTCCCCGTTTCATTACCCTGTAAGTGGTATACAAATTAAGATTAAAAGAAAAATAATAATAATAAAAGATAGTATAGTTGTCACTACCATATTTAACTTCTAAATTAGGCTTACTAAAATCTCATTTCTTTTCTAATTCTCTGTTTAGTTGGGTTTTGTTTATTTTATTGATAACGAAGATGATAACATGCTAGTGGAATTGTATAATCTATTGGTTATACTGTTTGCTGCCAAGGAGTATGAACTGGGTAAGAAGGATTCAAATTGATTCTTGTTGTAATTTACTTTGAATCTCTGTAAGTGCTTATTGTTTTGGTATAGTTGGTAACAACAGATCAACCCATGCAACAACACATGTTCGTAGAATTATATTAGAACAATAGATGGAACTCATGTTGCAACACATGTTTCAACTGAACATCAAATTATGTACCGTGGAAGAAAGGTACTCCACGTTATCATGACTGTGGACCCATCCAATGATGTTGTGGAATTTAATGAAGTTGTAATTATCAGTGTAACACTAGTTTTATATTTGAAAAATTATTAGTTTCTATTACTTTTGATTTTAATGATATTGAATTAGTATATTAGTTTGTGTTTGTACTCTTAAAATTTATCACAAGGCCTATTAGATAAAATGATGCTCCCGTGGTCCGATCTCAGTACGACAATATGATTCTAACGATGGCTAGTCTATCTATCTAATATTGATATCGGGCTCGACATGTCGATCTGATCCTGACACTGGGCCCAACAAGTTGGTCATATCCCGACATTAGGCCGGAAATGTCGGTCCGGTCTCGACATTGATTTCATCTTGTTGTTCGGTTCCGAAATTAAACTCAAGTGAGATTTTTGCTTTTGTTTAAAGAATAATATAAAAATTATTTTTACCAAACATGTTTTTTTTTTTAAATAATAGAAAACGAATGGTAGTTACCAAACATATTTTTTATTTTAAAAAATAAAAAACAAAAACAAGAAAAAATATTTTAAAAAAAGTTCAAGCATTGTACCAATACATACACTGACTACACTAGTAAAAAAATCATTCAAGATGTTTCAAAGAGTCTTAGGATGTTTGTTTCTTATATTCGTCTCTGATTCTGAATCATGATTCATGGTTCTCTACAGTATTTTTCTCTCATAAAAAACACAAGTAAAACGAGAATGGTTCTAAATCATGATTCTGAATACATAAACCAAACGTTCACTTCATCTTTCCAAAAGTCATTATATTTCTTTATCCACAAGGTGTTGATTTGAACCTGACCCTTTGAATAATGTTTCACTAAAAGAGCACAAGGTTTTTAACTAAGTGAATTCAAATATACAATATGTTTTATGATAATGACTATAAAACACAAGAAATATAGCACTTCGCTAAAATATATATATATATAATATGGGATCGAAATTTGTTTTCTTGGTCAAAACTTTTTTAGATGTGACTTTTAGGACTCGTTCATTTTATCAACAGTAAAAAAATTTTAAAAAATATTATATTTAATTTTTTTATAATAATAAAAATTTTAAAAAAACATCACATCTTAACTCAAATCTACAAAGTAAACGAGCCAGGTTCTCTCTTTGCCGGCTCTGAATTTTAGGGTGTTAGCATAATTCATCAGATTAAAAATCCATTAATTAAAAATCCATTAATTAAAAATATAAACAAAAACAAAAGAGGGAAACCTAAGACTATCTGAATTAATGTACTCTTGCCGGCTCTGCTCTGCTCCCGCCTCTTTCGTTTCCCCCGCCGCCGTCACTCTCTCTCTCCTCCGTTAGCAAAATGATATCTGCCATTTCTTGGGTTCCCAAAGGAGCTTCCCAGCCAGTCCCTTCTGTCGCCGACTTGCCTTCCAAAGAAGAAATCGAAGAGATTGTTCAGAGCGGCGCCTTCGATACAATGTAAATGGCTTTTGCCCTAGTTTATCTGCGTTTATTTTCGGTGAAGCTTTGACCTAATTTGTTCATTTTTTAATTTCGTTTTGAGTTTTGTAATCGTGTAGTGGAAATAGCTATGAGGAAATGGATGGTGGTAATAATCAACATGATAGTAACGATGAAGAGAAAGATGATGATGATGATGATGATGGTGATCATAAGTCTGGTAAAGATGTTAACTTGTCGAACGACAAATATGAAGACATAACTGATGGATTGAAGGAGCTCGACATGGATAATTATGATGATGAAGATGACGGTATCTTTATCTGTTTGATTTCTGTTGTTTTCTTTAGGAAATTTTTTTTTTTAAAATGCCTCTTTGTAAACGCATAATTTAAGTAAATGTCTGTAGTTTTGGTTTAAAGAAATATGTTTTTGCTAAAAATTTAAGAATCAATAATTTCTGTGATTGAAAAAATTGATAAATTAGATTTAACTTGGTAACCAATAACTAATTAATCAATGATTTATCAAAAAATAATCAACTATTTACGAAAGAATATTTAAAAAAAAACTGAACTTTTTTTTTTTAATTTAACATTTTTAAAGAAGGCATTGCTCCTTCTTATAAGTATATACAATGCATTTATCTCCGTTTAGCTTTGGCCAAAGAAATTTCTAGTCAATTTAAGCTAAGCATTTATGTTCTTATTATGGCCGGTTTAGGGATTGAGCTGTTTAGCAAAGGGAATGGCGATCGTTACTACCCAAGTAATGACATGGATCCGTATTTCAAGGATAAGGATGTAAGTTGTGACCTCTTTATCATTAGGTTTGCTTTTGTTTGTGTTTTTCATATTTTCTCTTGTGAAGGAATATTATTGTTTATTTTTGTTCATACTTCTTTTTTTCCTCTGAAGGATGATGAGGATTCTGAAGATCTTGAGGACTTGACCATTAAGCCAACAGATTCTGTCATAGTTTGTGCGCGCAACGGTGACGATGGCAATCATCTCGAGGCATGTAGTAACTAAACTCCAAGCTGGTTGCTTCTTCCTTTTTCCTTCTACGGCATTTGATGAATGGTTTTGTTGTGCTCTAACAGGTTTGGATATGTGAAGAAGCTGTTGATGGCGAATTGAACACTTATGTCCACCACGAAACCATGATTTTTGAATTTCCATTGTGCATGGCATGGCTGGATTGTCCGCTTAAAGGCGGCGAACGAGGTACGTCTTACATGAATTAGCTTCGGATTTGGATGTCATCCTTGTCCATAAAAGATTATTTGACCTTTTTTGTTGGTTATGATTTCCACTGATTTTTCTCTTTAAGGTTTTTCTAGGGAATAGTTATTTCATTTATCTTGATGGTAGTAGCTGTATTGATAGGAAAGTAAGGTGTCGTTTTTGGGATAAAATCATTTTGGTACCCTGTGTTATAGGAAAACATGCTCTTGATACCCTGTGTTTTTTGATAATATTAAAATCGTACCTTCACATTTACAAAAACGTTTTTATGTTACCCTGAGGTCATTTTTTGGGACATAAAATTTCATTATTACCCTTCTACTTAATTTGCACATAATTAATTTTTACAAAACATATTAGAAATTATAAAAACAGAGAGAACTAATAAATCCTGTATCTTTTATTAATGAAGACTTTCGTCTTTAAATAGACTACAATAGGGATAATAATCCCAAAAATAAGGAACTGATATGCTAATCCTAATCCTAAATAAACAAATCTATTCTATGAGAAAATAAGATTGACGTTATCCAAAGTTTGACTAAACCTAATAGGATTTGAATTTCGTCCACACTCCCCCTCAAGCTTGGCTGTAGATGTTGATGAGGCCAAGCTTGCCTACAAGTATTTCAAGGGTTTGTTCGGATAGCCCTTTTGTGAGTAGATCAGCTAGTTGATGAGATGTAGGCACGTATTCAATTCTGATAACGTTTCCATCAAGTTTTTCTTTAATAAAGTGTCGATCTTCTTCCACATGTTTGGTCTTATCATGATGAACAGGATTATGAGCTATACTGATAGTTGACTTATTATCACAGTATAGCCGCATAGGTTCGTCAAAGTCAATTTTCAACTCTTTCATCACTCTTCTTATCCAAACGAGTTCACAAACTCCATGAGCCATAGCTCTATACTCAGCTTCTGCACTGCTTCTAGCCCACTGACTATTTTTTGCTGCGCCAAGTCACCAGATTCTCCCACAATAAGGTACAATATCCAAATGTTGATTTTCGATCATCAATGGATCCAACCCAATCTGTATCAGTGAATGCTTTCACTTTTCGATCATCAGTCTTTGCAAAAAATAAGCCTTTTCCAAGTGTTTGTTTCAAGTATCTCAAGATTCTATATACTGCATCAAGATGTCCTTGACATGGTGCATGCATATATTGACTTACTAAACTCACTGCAAAGGCAATATCTGGTCTCGTATGTGAGAGGTAGATGAGCTTTCCAACAAGACGTTGATAATTTCCCTTGTCGACTGGTCCTCCTTCAAGCATTTTTGCTTTATTACCGAGTTCAATCGGCGTTTTACTAGGCTTGCATCCCAACATGCCAGTTTCTTCCAAAAGATCTAAGGTGTACTTCCTTTGAGAGACAGAAATACCCTTTTTACTCCTTGCAAATTCCATCCCTAGGAAATATCTCAGGGCTCCAAGGTCTTTAACTTCGAATTCCTTTGCCATTATTTTCTTGATTCTCTCCACTTCACTATTATTGTCAGTGATAATGATATCATCAACATATACTATAAGAATAGTAATTTTCTCTTTTTCAGAGTGTTTAACAAATAGCGTATGATCGGCTTGTCCCTGAATGTAGCCAAACTTCCTGATCACCTTCGAGAACCTGTCAAACCAAGCACGTGGAGACTGTTTTAAACCATAGAGAGACTTGTTAAGTTTACAGACAGTTTGTCTCTCTAATTCCTCTTCAAACCCCGGAGGTTGACACATTTAAATCTCCTCTTCAAGCTCACCATTTAGGAATGCGTTTTTAATATCAAGTTGATGTAGGGGCCAATCAGAATTAGCTGCCACTGAGAGAAGAATTCGGACAATATTGAGTTTGGCAACAGGAGCAAAGGTTTCAGTGTAGTCGATTCCATAGGCTTGTCCCTGAATGTAGCCAAACTTCCTGATCACATTCGAGAACCTGTCAAACCAAGCACATGGAGACTGTTTTAAACCATAGAGAGACTTGTTGAGTTTACAGACAGTTTGTCTCTCTAATTCCTCTTCAAACCCCGGAGGTTGACACATTTAAATCTCCTCTTCAAGCTCACCATTTAGGAATGCGTTTTTAATATCAAGTTGATGTAGGGGCCAATCAGAATTAGCTGCCACTGAGAGAAGAATTCGGACAGTATTGAGTTTGGCAAACAGGAGCAAAGGTTTCATTGTAGTCGATTCCATAGGTTTGAGTAAAACCTTTGGCCACTACTCGCGCCTTGTGTCTCTCAACTGAACCGTCCTCCTTATACTTAACTATGAATACCCATTTGCACCCTACTGTGCTTTTCCCTTGGGGCAATTCTACCAAGTTCCATGTATTATTCTGTTAAAGGGCACGCATTTCTTCAAGAACAGCATCTTTCCACATCCAATGCCTCTTTTATAGACCTGGGAATCATTATACTAGACAATCTAGAGGTAAAACCACGGAATGAAGGAGATAGATTTGAATAGGAGATGAATTTGGAAATAGGATGCTGAGTACAAGATCTAACACCCTTTCTAACTGCTATTGGCTTGTCTAGATTAAGAATGGAAGTAGATGTACCTGACTCATTTTGTAGGTGAGAATCTACCATCGGTTTGTCTTCTTGACTGTGAGTAGGATTCATGATTTCTTTATTTCCTCGAGAGTTTTTTCTTCTAGAGGAGACCTGTAACTCTTGTTGTTTAGGCTCGGGCAGTGTTGCTTCTCCCCCTGTTTCCAATATTGGTTCATGATCAGGTCGATTTGGCGCATTTGGAGGGCTGATCTGAATTGACTCAGGTGTGGAAACAGTTGTGGTATCTAAATTATCATTAAGTAACGGTAGGTTAAGAGTATCCCAGGAACAACAAGCTTCATCCTGTTTCTCCCCCTGAAGTGAAGTTGGAGAGAAGTAAGGTGTATCTTCAAAGAAGGTGACATCACAGGAAACATATATTTTTCTGGTTTGTGGACAGTGACAATGATAACCTTTCTGAATTGGAGAGTAGCCAAGAAAGACAGTTTAAGAGCTTGGGGATCAAGTTTACTTCTATTGTGCTCATGAATATGGACAAATGTTGTACAGCCGAAGGTTTTTAATGGAAGAGCATTGGACTTAGAAACTTGCTGATAGTTTTTGGAGAGAATAGACAAAGGAGTTTCAAAGTTGATCGAACGACTTGGTAAACGGTTTATGAGATAGGTAGCAGTTAGGATAGCTTCCCCCCATAAGTATTTTGGAACATTCATTGTAAACATGAGAGCACGAGCTACTTCTAACAGATGACGATTTTTCCTTTCGGATATTTCATTTTGTTGTGGAGTATCAACACATGAACTTTGATTTATAATCCCATTGTCCAACAAATAATCTCCTAGAATGGAATTGAAGTATTCTTTTCCATTGTCGGTTCTAAGTGTTCGGATATTGGTTTGAAACTGGGTTTGAATCATCTTGTGAAAGTATTTGAATATTTGACTGGTTTCGGATTTGTCACGAAGAAGATAAACCCATGTAACACGTGTGTGATCATCAATAAATGTAAGGAACCATTTTTTACCGTGAGATGTAGTGATTCATGAAGGTCCCCATATGTCACTATGGATCAAAGAGAACGGTATGGACGGTGTGTATGGTTTCGGAGAAAGTGGAATGCGAGTGTGTTTGGCTAGTTGACAAATTTCACAATCAAGAGAAACAAAATTTTTATTATTATTAAATAAGGATGGAAACAAACATTTAAGATATGAAAAACTGGGATGGCCAAGTCTATGATGCGATAACATTATTTTCCTAGTACTAGAAACAGACATAGAAGCAAAAGTTTGTCGACTCTTTGATTGATCACTTTCAAAGTAATAAAGACCCTCATGAATCCTAGCATTGCCAATCATCTTCCCTGATAGTAGGTCCTGAAATTGACATGACAAAGGCAAGAATTTAGCAACACAATGATTATCACGTGTAATTTTACTAACAGAGATCAGGTTGCATTTTAAGGCAGGAACATGGAAGACAGATTCAAGGATAAGGTTCTGAGATAATTTAATATTACCGATTCCAGCAACTGGAGTCACAGACCCATCAGCAATTTTAACAGTGGTGTGAGTAGAACAAGGAATATATGAGTAAAAAAGATTAGAATCACCTGTCATATGATCGGAGGCCCCTGAATCAATGATCCAAGGGTCTTTACAGTGAATGGAAGATTCTAGAGTTGAGTAAAGTTTACCAGATTGAGTCACTGAACATAACCCGATAGTGGAGCTGGAAGAGGGATTGGTTGAACTTTGAGGAGTATTGACGGATGGCTGATTGAGAAGCCTACGGAGATGTTCAATCTGTTCCTTGCTGAATGGAATAGATGCACTGGAGTTGCCTGATTTGTCTTGGTCGGATTGAGTTTGGTATGCACGTCCATCATTCTTCTTCCGAGGCTACCAATTTGCTGGTTTTCCATGAATCTCCCAACACTTTTCCCGAGTATGGCCAGGACGATTACAGTGATCACACCATGGTCGCTTGCCTTGGCACTGATCAGGATGATGCTGTCCGTGTGAGTGGGGTTTATTTAACACAAGGGTAGACCCTTCTAGTGCAGATGGAGGTACTGGTATGTCATCGGTGAGCATTACCTTCCGACGGACTTCCTCACGACGAACCTCAGCAAAGGCATCTTCTGTAGAGGGAAAAGGATCCTGTGCTACCACTCGGCCTCATACCTCGTCCAGGTTTCGATTAAGGCCAGCAAGGAAATCGAACACTCATTCTTTTTCAAGATTACGCCTTTGCTTGATACTACATTCAGCACATGTGGACTCTTCTTCAAAAAACATATTGAGTTCTTGTCAAAGATCTTGAAGATCAGAAAAATACTGAGTCACCGAATTTGAGCCCTACTTCATCTCCTTCAGCTTCGAACGGACCTCGAAAATTTGAGAAGCATTCCCGAGATCAGAGTACATTCGGCGGGCTGCATCCCACAACTCCTTGGCCGTTTTGAACCAGAGATAGCGACGGCTGATTTTCGGGTCCATCGAATTGATAAGCCAAGCGAGAACATTAGAATTCTCTGCCAGCCATGTCTTATACGACGGATCAGTTGGGCTGGGAGTAGGAAGTTCTCCAGTAAGATAGCCCAATTTGCCGCGGCTACAAATAACAATTTTTACGGATTGCGCCCACTGTAGATAATTTTTTCCATCTAATTTGTGGGCTGTAATATGGAGAGAGAAGGTATCACTCCCGGAGAGAGAAGGTATCGCTCCCGGAAAGAGAAGCGATTGGAATAGAGTTTCTTTCAGCCGTGAATTGACTGGACGTTGTTGATCCGGTATTATCACCGGAGGATATGGCTGTATCGTGTTCAGCCATGAGAGGAAAAAAATTAGCCCTTAGGCTCTGATACCATATAAAAACATAGCGAACTAATAAATCATGTATCTTTTATTAATGAAGACTTTCGTCTTTAAATAGACTACAATAGGGATAATAATCCCAAAAATAAGGAACTGATATGCTAATCCTAATCCTAAATAAACAAATCTATTCTATCAGAAAATAAGATTGACGTTATCCAAAGTTTGACTAAACCTAATAGGATTTGAATTTCGTCCACAAAAATATGTGAAACAAAACTACAAATATTAAACCTCATATCCAAAAATAAAGAAATAAAGAAATAAACTTTATAAATTAAAAAAAAAAAAAAAAGTCACGTCTCTCTGCAACAAATCTTCCAACAAGATGCATCTCTCTGCAACAATAAAAAACACCTCTCTGCAACAAATCTTCCAATTTATCCTACCATTAACCATTTTCATGACAAATCTTCAACAAATCTTCCATTCCGAATTCCAATCTCAGACAATGAGACAAATCTTCCAATCTCAAACAATGAGACAAATCTTCCATTTTCATCTCTCTGTAACAATTCTTCTGAGCTTCCATTTTCATCGCTTCCAACAGCAGCGAACACGAACATGTTTTGGCACCAACAACCCCGCCGCTATAGGGGGAGACGGGTGTGGTGGGGGGCTGGGGTGGGTTGTAGGGGGCGCGGCGATGGGTCAAGGGAAAGGGGTGGGGTGATGAGGACAGGGGTTGAGTTGCGGTTGATCCGAAAATCAGATTTGATGTGGGAGGGGTGATGTTACGGATGGGTTTGAGGGAGGGTAGGTCTGAGTATTAGATCTGGCGTTGAATGGGAGATTGGGGTAAATCCGAGTTATCTAGGAATTCAAATTCCAAGTTTGAATACGAGATTTTCCAGCATTTGTGAGTTGAGAATTTACAGCATTTGAGTTTGATTCCAGTTTGAATATGAAATTTGAACAAAAAAGATGTATTGATGTTAAGGCTCAAGTTTTTCTTAAAGTTCTTAATAATGTATTTTTAAATATTTTTAATACGTTTTGTGAAAATTAATTATGGACAAATTAAGTAGAAGGGTAAAAATGACATTTTATGTCCTAAAAATGACTTCAAGGTTCCAAAAAAAGTTTTTGTAAATGTGAAGATACCATTTTAATATTATCAAAAACACAGGGTACTAATAGCATGTTTCCCTGTAACACAGAGTACCAAAATGATTTTATCCCTTATTAATATTTAATACTCATGTTAAATGGAGTTTTGTGGAGAGCCATGATACTTGGTTAACCATAACTTTTTTTCCCAGTTAAGTTAATCAGTGATTACTCATTCACGTCACAATCTTTTGTAGAGTGGGTATTTCTTTTACCAGAACTACATTTGTTGTTCTTGTTGCGGTTACTTTGTTTACAAGCTTTCCTTATATTGGCAGGGAATTTCATAGCTGTTGGATCTATGGAACCTTCCGTTGAAATATGGGACCTTGACATTGTACGTTCATCATAATTGCTGTTGCCGTTAAAAATAAAATAATAAAAAAAATTCAGGCTGCTTAGGTTATTGGGTGAGATCTTATTGCATTTTCTTAGTAACGTTTTCTGTTTCTTCAGATTGATGAGGTGCAACCATGTATGGTGCTAGGTGGCATCGCTGAGAAAAAGAAGAAGAAAAAGGGGAAAAAGGTTTTCCACGAAAATTCCTTTCTAGTTTTTCTCAGTGCATGAAATTGTACATCTCTTGTTGACCTGTATGCATGTCAAGCCTCTAGTGATGAACGAACTTCTTTTCCTAATCATGATATTTTCTTGGTAATAGACGTCAATCAAGTACAAAGAAGACAGCCACACTGATTCTGTACTAGGTCTTGCTTGGAACAAATACTACAGGTTTGCTCTTGCTGCTTTTCCTGTGTTATGGTAGTGGATTTACTGCTCTTCCCCGTTATATATCCCTAAAATACGTCTGTATCTTGCTATTTGTTTGTATAAAACACAGGAATGTACTTGCGAGTGCTAGTGCTGACAAACAAGTAAAGATTTGGGATGTGGCTACTGGAAAATGTACTATTACCATGGAGCATCATACAGACAAGGTAAGAATGAGACTTCATTGGGATAATGTATCTATCACGAGATTATTTTCATGGGGTTGCATGTGAATAATGTAAGTAATATTTTCGAGTTTTATTTTGGTGGATTGGTATGTTGTTGACTCAATAATGCTGTGTATCCTTTTTGTTAAAACCTGATGTACAAATGTTTCAAGGTGCCATGGTATCAGAGGTTATTTAGTAGCCCTAATACATATGTGCGCTTCCAGATTTTTCTTGGTGGGCAAATCTAGAAAACAAAGACAGGTGGATAAAAGTTTGTGTGCGTAAATTTATTTTGACTCTCTCTTGGGAAGGGTTAAAGGTTCATTACGTTTTAAAGCCAGATAAATGAAATTTCCATCTTTGCATTTTATTGAAGCTACATCTCTCCTAATGAAAGGTAATGATTTAGCTGAAACCATTCAGGTGTTTATATTTATTTCAAAGGTAGCAGTGGCCTAAACATTTTTGTAGTGTTTATAAAGCAAAAGGCCAGCTTCTTGTGCTTGTGCTAGATGCACTATTGCGTGCTCTAACATTTTAGTGCAGTGATTTGAACTTTGCCATTTGAGTTTTAGTTTAACCTCTGGTCTAACTTATTCTCACAGGTTCAGGCTGTTGCATTTAATCATGATGTACGACCAGTTCTTCTTAGCGGATCTTTTGATCATTCTGTGGTTATGGTAAATTGTTAACCACATGCTTTACTCATCTTATTGCACTTTCTTCTATAATTTATGATTTTCATTGTGCCTTCTTTATTTATACTGATAACGTATTGCAGAAAGATGGGAGGGACCCAACACATTCCGGTTACAAGTGGATTGTGAATTCTGACGTAGAAAGCTTGGCATGGGACCCACACAATGAGCACTCGTTTGTGGTGTGTGCTTTTGCTTCTTTCTTAGAACCTTTTTTTTTTTTTTTACTGCATTAATAGTTATATTTTATTTCAAGATGTTGGGATAATAAAGCTTTAATGCTTAATTGCTAATGAGACACACACACAGAGATATATTTATATATATGGTTGATTGATAGTTAAATAGTTTTAGTAGATATTAGTATAGCTGATAATCATACGTTGCTCTTAAATTTAGGTGAGTCTTGAAGATGGTACAGTGAAGGGATTTGATCTTCGGGCTGCCACATCTAATCCAGATTCCGAGTCAAAACCAAGTTTTACACTTCATGCTCATGACAAAGCTGTTTGCTCAATCTCTTACAACCCTTCAGCACCTAATGTACATATTCTTTTTTCCTTGCCTTTTTTGGGTTTCATCTTCTAGAATCATAACATCCTAATTGTAATTTGATCTTAACATTTGTTACAGCTTCTTGCAACTGGATCCACAGATAAAATGGTAATGAACTTTGGACACTCCCAATAAACCTCTATTCGGAGAGCAGACCTTAATGGCTTTATTTATGACATTTATTTGCTGTTAACAGGTAAAGCTCTGGGATTTGTCAAACAACCAACCCTCATGCATTGTGTCGAAGAATCCCAAAGCAGTAAGTGATTTGCTGAATGTATTGCTTTTTGCTTGGTTGATACCTGTTGGATTCTTACATTCTGTTTTCAATGTTACTAGGGAGGTGTATTTTCTGTTTCGTTCTCAGAGGACAGTCCTTTTCTGTTGGCAATCGGAGGGTCCAAGGGTAGACTGGAAGTGAGTATCCATTCTATTTTGTCTTATAGTTCAATTGTGTTCTGAAAGTCTTGCATAACCGATTGCTACCTTGTAAATTTTCAGATCTGGGATACATTATCTGATGCTGCAGTCTCAAGAAGATTCGGGAATCACAGCAGTCATCAGGCTCGTTCTTAATGAAATCTATTTAGAGGGGAATGCGGGTCTTATTATGTGTTGCAGAGCTTTTGTTTCTTGGGATAGAACAGTTCCTTGTAAGTAATTTATCTCAGATTGTAATATGAGTTTCAGATTTCCTCCCCATTTTGAATCCTTGATATCTTGTGTGCTTGTGTTACAGTCACAAGAATTTTCAGGTACAAGGAAATTTGCTGTTCCTGTATTATTTTATTCTATTTTATTTAAGCAAATTTGTTTGTGTTCTTCAGAAGACAGTGAATGGATTTTAGAGATTCTTATGGTAGGAATTTAACTCTTATACCAACTTTTTAATACCAACTAATGTCATATTGAATAGATAATTAAATTGCTTTATGAAAGACAAGAAAACTTCTTATTTACTATTTCTGAGCTAGTAGCGAAGCCTTTGTTTCTAAAGTTCTTCAGGTGGTCATTGGTAGCTATTTCTGCTATTGACTGTTCTTCCTAATAGCCTTGTCATGGTTGTGTTGGTCGCTTTGAACCTGTTAGGTTTAGGGCTCATTTGTTTCGTATGCTCAAATCATTGATTCTGTTACAGTGACAAAAAATTTGAATTTCAAGTTTCAGAATTGAGAATCATGGTTTGAGTATATCTTACAAACGAGCTCTTAATGAAATGGTCGACCTCATTTTGAATAAAATATCTCGTGTCCTGCACTTAATTTGTTGGTACCTTGAGTCTCGAGGGATTCTTAAATAACTTGAAAGGGAAAAAAAAGCAAAAAAAACAAAAAACAAAAAAAAAAAACAAAAACAAAAGAAACCGGAGCGAGGTGGATGTTCGGAAATGACAATACTGTGTGGGATAATAACTAGTTGGATGCACTTGGAAATTTTGGATGGTTTTCATTCTATTTTTGAAATAAAATGAGCAAAGATTGTGTCACACTTTAAGCGACCACAGGAGTGTATATAGATAGCATAAGATGCTAAGCTTACATTTATTGTAAAGGCAATGAACAAAATCCAAAAAGCTTTTGAGTTGTAAGTATTGGGATTTTACCATCAAGTTCATCTTGATGACCTTGAACAAGTGGGAGAACTTTTCTTTCCCGTCGCAGGCTCTTCCTTGCGTTCAACATCACTGTTTGCACGGCATTTGCCCGTGCTCTTACAAATTGTAATGCTGTGCTACAGTGTTTAATGACCGGTCCAACTCAATTGACATCTCTACTTATATTTTACCCGTGCTCTTACAAATTGTAATGCTGTGCTACAGTGTTTAATGACCGGTCCAACTCAATTGACATCTCTACTTATATTTTATATTTTATAGAGATGTCAAATTTTTAAGGATACTTTCACTGTCAAATTTTCACTGTCAACAACTAGTTAGTGTTATTTAAAACACAAGGATACTTTCACTGTCAACAACTAGTTAGTGTTGTTTAAAACACAAGGATACTTTATTGATTAACAATATCTTCAGATGTTGCTTTTTTAAAAAACTCAAAATGATATCAACAAAAGTGAAATTTCAATTAAAAAAAAACAGCATAATTATGAGACTTTTCCATTGATTAATCATATTTATACATTTTAGAAAGAAAAAGGGGTAGCAAAATCTGATGAATTGGCAATAAAACTTGACACGTCTTGCGACATTCAACATACGCTTCCTTGAGTACCTCCCAAATAAATTTTCACCAACAAAAAATTGAAGCTTCTAAAATGTCTCAACTGAACGATTTTAAACTTCCAAATAAACAAATATAGTTGTCCCAAAAAAAGAGTTATATATCAGTGGTCACAGCAAAATTGTCCTATACCTCAATTTCATTTCAGTATAGAGTGCTGGCGGATGCAAAATTTGCTAAGAAAAATCAGAACCCATTTCATCCCTCACTATTTTCAGCATCAGATTCTGATTCCTTGCATTCAATCTTGGGCAGTTTTGCATTTTTAATTGCTGGATGATGGATTGACTGCAAGAAGTTGAAGTAAGCATACTTGATATCGAACTGCATATCATACCCTGCCAAAAATTACTTGTGCCTCAGGATTTAACAGTTTCATAAAATTAAGAACAAAAAAATGTGAGCAGAAAGTTTGATCCTTACAATAATTTACTGCAATAGCTCGTCCGCTATCATCCGGGCTTTGTCTAACATGATGGAACCACATGCTTGGCCTGCGATTGCATAAACCCCAACATTACCAAGCCTCCAAATTTCAATCATTAATAATGTAAGTGATGCTGAAAGAATTGCTGCATCATACAAAACAAAAACAGCGAAGCTGCTGCAACATTCGAAGCTAAAAAGAAAAGGATAAGTCGTGGCATCTGTTAAAAGATCTACAACTCACTCTAGAGACATGCCTCAAGTGATACCAGAACTTTTTTTTTTTTTAATATATATAAAAAGAACCTGTTTCTTATCCTAATGAGAAACATGTTTAAGTTTACTTCATTATGAATCAGGACTACATGAAAATAACAGGCCGATCAGCAAAATCAAACTCAGGCATTGTTGAATTGGTTTTGGAAAAGTTCAATTTCGATAGAGGAAGCAGTGTAAAGACCAACTATCATTCTTCAATAACCACGCAGTCAGAGGTGAGCCGCAGGTTTGGTTCTTTACTTATACAGAAGGACAAGCTTCAGTCATGGTTTATGAAACTCTAGGAAAACTCTGTCATCGTTGACTCATTCGATTAGGTCATTGCAATTTTCTTGACATCAACATGTCTTCTCTAGGAATACGTTCCACACCATTTTGGAAGACAACAAAAGGTGGTGCTTAAATTTTCAATCACAATGCGGAGCCAAACTTACTGTTGACGTGTAAATTAGCTATAAATAGATTAGGAGAATCAGTTTGAAATCCCTTAAATTGAGGGAGTCAGTTAGGCACTTTCCCGGTTTGGGAATGATTTAGTTTCCTATTATTTCTCCTGTAATCTACTGTATAATACCGTGTAATACCAATTCATAATAACAGAAAATAAGAATCCTTTTTTTGTGACATGGTATCAAAGCCCTAGGCTCATAAGTCCGGGAATTTTTTCTTTTTTCCGCCTTCATTGCCGGAATTTGCTTTGATCTTCAAACGCCATCGCCAGAGATTTTCTGGTCGGCCTTCATTGCCGAGATTTTTCTGATCTATGATCTTTGTCGTGGCCTTCATCGCCGACGCCCCCTGATCAATGGTCGTTGGAATTCGTTGCCCTGTTCATCGTCTTCTCTGGACTTGGGTGTGAGGAACTGTTGCAAATGACGTGCCGTTTATAAGAGAATGTGAAATCGGTCTTTCAAACGACCTGTCGGTTTTTTATCAAACAAGGGAAACGACTTGTCGTTTTCTTCTTCTTTTCAAACGACTTGTCGTTTTCTCCTTGATTTCAAACGACTTGTCGTTTTCTCCCTGTTCGGACAGCCTTAATTGCTGCCAATTTTCTTCATCATGTCAACCTCCGAAACCACCATCTCTAGCAACCCATCCGAAGAATCCAATTATAGAAAACCGGAGAATTGCATAACATTCGAGCCTCCAACAGGCTTAATTGGGAAGAACTACCTCAAATGGTCTCAAATTGTTCGGACATACCTAAAGGGCAAGGGGAGACTTAATCACCTGCTTGGAACGGGGCCGAAAACAAAGGATCCGGCCTTTGAAGCATGGGATGAGGAAGACTCCATGATTATGTCTTGGCTATGGGACTCCATGGATCCAACGATCAGTGAGACATGTATGTTCTTGACTATTGCAAAGCAAATTTGGGATTATATTCAGCATACATACTCGAAGGCTCGTGATAATGCTCAAGTGTATGAGATTAAGATCAAAATTGGAGCCACTAAGCAAGGAGACAAGTCTGTCACGGAATATGCAAACCTGTTGCAAAATATGCAGCAAGAATTGGACCACTACCAAGTAATAGAGATGAAGTGCCCTGATGATGCTGCCATTTTAAAGAACTTCATTGAAAGAGATCGGACATACGATTTCCGGGATTGAATCCAGAGTTTGATCAGGTTAGGATTCAAATCATTGGCAAGGGGAACACACTGTCTCTAGAAGAGACAATCTCACTAATCCGACCAGAAGAAAGCCGAAGGAGTGTCATGCTTGAACCACCAACCATGGACTGGTCAGCCCTAGTAGCTAAAAGAAATCATCAGGAGAAAGGAAAGGGTGATCCGCCTAAACACCCAGGTAGAGAAAATCAGTGGAAGGAGAACAAGGACAATCTCTGGTGCACCTATTGTAAGAAATCGAGGCACACAAAAGAGACGTGTTGGAAGCTGAATGGTAAGCCACCAAGCCGAGAGTGGGGAAACCGTGAGGGAAACTGTGGGGGTCAATAGAGGCCTCAAGCACACATGGCAGAGCAGCCCAAAACTAAGGAAAATTCAACAGGAACCGGGGGGTTCAACAAGGAAGAAATTGAGAAATTGAGAAGCTTGTTAGGGTCGCTTGAGAAGCCTTCAGGAACCTGTTCTTTAGCTCTTTCGGGTAAACCTTCATTTCCTTTTTGCAAGAATGCCTCAGAAAAATTCTATGTTAACCCTTGGATAATAGACTCAAGTGCCACAGACCATATGACCCCCACATCTCAACTCTTCCACACCTATACTCCATGCCCGAGTAACAAGAAAATTGTAGTGGCCAATGGTTCTTTAGCCACTGTTGCAGGGTCCGGAGATATACATATCACACCTACCCTCATCCTTAAAAATGTCCTCCATGTACCTAAACTGTCGGCCAGCCTTGTTTCCATACAAAAACTTACCCATTGTTGAAGACCTAGGTTTTGAAAGCTAGGAAATTATCTCTTAAGGAGATTATCATTCTAAAAGTTAGGAGTTATCTCTAGGAGTTATCTCTTCCTAGATTATGTTTTTAAATTTAGAAATCCGGATAGAATATTTGATTAGGTCCGGATAAGGATGACTTGGAATCCAATTAGGATTGATTTTCTAAGTTAGTTTTATGCCAATAAATAGCTTGTAAATTCCGCATATTAATAATAAGAAAGTAAGTTCTTTTTCCTCTAAAAAACTACATGGTATCAGAGCTAGCTCTTAAGTTTTAAAGGGTAAAGACTGCCATGACCAGAGCAAGTAGGACCTCTGCTTCTTCAAGGGATTCCGCAGAGAATGAGTAGTCCGGAACCACTGCCATAACTAGCGGCACAAACCCATTAGCAACATATGTAAATCCTTCTCTTCATATCACTGTTCACAAATTAAATGGCAAGAATTACCTAGAGTGGGCTCAGTCCATGAAGCTCGCAATTGATGGAAGGGGAAAACTCGGCCACTTAACCAGAGAGGTAAAAAAACCAGCAGTGGGTGATCTGAATCTGAAGGTATGGCGATCCGAGAACTCTTTGATAATGGCGTGGCTCATCAACTCAATGGAGCCGGCTATTGGGAAACCTCATATATTCTTACCAACCGCCAAAGATATGTAGGAAGCTATACGTGAGATGTACTCAGACCTGGAAAACTCATCACAAATCTTTGAACTAAAGACGAAGTTGTGGCAATCTAGACATGGAGATCGAGATGTCACAACATACTATAATGAGATGGTAACTTTATGGCAAGAATTGGATTTTGTGTTATGAAGATGAATGGGATTATCCCACTGATAGTGTGCGGCATAAGAAAAGATAGGAGAATGATCGAGTTTACATGTTTCTAGCAGAGCTCAATCAAGAATTAGATGAAATAAGAGGAAGGGTCTTAGGAAAAAAAACCCTTACCATCTATCAGAGAAGTGTTTTCAAGAGTTAGGAGAGAGGAGGCTAGGCGAAGAGTGATGCTAAAAGCCCAAGAACCGAAGCTCAATCTTGAAGCAAAAAGTTCGGCTCTAGTCTCTAGAGGATTTGATCTGGAGGAAGAAAAGAAAAAGAAACCATGGTGTGATCACTGCAAAAAACCATGGCATACAAAGGAAACATGCTGGAAACTTCATGGCAAACCGAAGAATTTTAAAAAGAAGAATGGAGGTGATGGCAAAGCATTCCAAACCGTGAGTGAGGATTCTCAAAGGCAGCAAATCAACTCGGAAATAACTCAGTTCACAGAGGAACAACTAGACCATCTGTACAAACTCTTTCAATCTCCACAATTTTCAAATTCTTCTTGTTCTTTAGCTCAAAAGGGTAATTATCTCATTATAGCTCTCTCTAGTATAAAATCTAAACTGTTTTATCCATGGATTATTGATTCTAGAGCCACAGATCACATGATTGGATCTTCAAAACTGTTTTCATCCTGGAAACCGTGTGCAGGGAATAAAAAGATTAAAAATGCAGATGGATCATTTACTAGTAGGGATGAAATAATGATGTGGTATTATAGGTTAGGCCACCCTAGTTTTCAATATTTAAAACATTTGTTTCCAAACTTATTTAGAAATAAAGATCCATCTTCATTTCAGTGTGAATTTTGTGAATTAGCTAAACATCATCGTACCACATTTCCATTACAACCATACAAGGCTTCAAAACCTTTTTCATTAATACATAGTGATGTATGGGGGTCTTCCCGAATCACAACACCATCGGGAAAGAGATGGTTTGTCACTTTCATAGATGATCACACAAGGGTAAGTTGGGTTTACTTACTAAAAGAAAAATCAGATGTGGAGGAGGTGTTCAAAAAATTTTACATAATGGTGATGACACAATTTCAAACACAAATTCAAGTTTTTCGTAGTGATAATGGAAAAGAGTATTTTAACAAGATTTTGGAAAAATTCTTCCTAGAAAAAGGCATAGTTCACCAAAGCTCGTGTAATGACACCCCTCAATAAAATAGAATAGCTAAACGAAAGAATAAACACCTCCTAGAAGTAACTAGAGCACTACATTTCACAAATAAGGTCCTGAAGTATCTTTGGGGGGAAGCTATCCTCACAGCTACCTACCATATCAATAGGATGCCAACTAGGGTGTTGAAACTCAAAACACCATTACAGGTATTTTCAAGTTGCTATCCAACATCTAGGTTATCACCTACACTTCCTATACAAATATTTGGATGCACAGCCTTTGTACACATTCATGATCATAACCGGGGAAAACTTGACCCTAGAGCTAAAAAATGTGTCTTTGTAGGATATGCACCTACTCAAAAAGGTTATAAATGCTTTGATCCAATTTCTAAAAAAATGTTTG